AGTAACAAGTGCCTTACTAGTAGTAACAATGTTTGCTAGTAGAAACACGGAGTATATAAGTCCAAGAACCTTGGAGCTGCTTGACTCAGGTGATGCCCTCCAGCCACAGTGGGATGTCGGTGGTTTTTGCCAAGCGCCCGTCGGCCCAACATGTGATGGGCGACCGACTGCGGTAGCTGTGCAGTGGGTTTGGCGGCGGCGAACCAGACGATTAAACAGTTTGGTTTGTCGAATCTTTGTTTTATTGGGAGCAAAGGGCATCGCTATTAGTAACAATGTTCGCTACTAGCGGCTCCTGGCATCGCTGCTAGGAGCAAGGACGCTACTAGGGGCTCCTGGCATCGCTACTAGGAGCAAGAAGCTATTGGGTTAAATTGGAATTAGAATTTTTAGAACCGGAAGATGAAACAGTTTGGTTGCAGGCCATCGCTTCTAGGTTGGATCACATCGCAGTTAGAAACAAAGAAAGACAATGAGGAAAGCACGAGTTCTTTGTCGGGAAACAGTATGGGTCGAGTTATTGTGAGTGCTATTCAGACTCGGACGATGCTATGAAGATAATGTTAATTAGCGATATAATTCTTTGGCGCTATTCCGGATCAGGCGCTTTGTTACCGAAGGCGCTTTGGCCCCTTGATTCAAGCTGTCTTCGGAAGCACATCAGCTGAACTGTCGATAGCCGAAGTGGCAACCGGCTTGAGTATGGCCTGTCAAGAAGCTGCACCGGACAGGTGCGCCCAAGTGGCCGCTCCTTCTCAGGCTGGAGTAGAGGAGGGAGCACACTTTCAGCTCCGATGCTCTCCGCAGCTAGGCTATGCTAGGCTTCGGGAAAACGGTCGGTAACTGTGCTACATGTGCGTGAATGACAGCCCCCTCAAAACTTTTCTTCCCACAAACTCGTCCAAACTAATATTGGCCGCTATACGAACTCTGGAAGCTCAAGGTGAGGCTGCTAAAACTTGTGGTTCGCACGAACACTTGTTGAGCAGCACAAACCTTCTGGCAGATTCAAAGGCACCTTGCTATCAGGAACGTGCGCGTGGCGCATCTGCTTCATGAAGCGCTTTGGTCACAGGATTGGAGGTCGTCCAGGTACACCTCAGCTTCTGGCAACAGTTCGTCTCGCCGCATGGGGGGTTGTGAATCGAAGGATTGCAAAGAAGCAGGAATTGAAAGGGCAGAGCAAAGAAAGGAAGGAAGCAAGAAGGGTCGAAAGGTTTTATAAAACAGACATGAAGGAAGAAATCAAAGAATCGGATAACCCCACAAGAGCTCTTAGAAGAGAAACAGGAAAGAAGAGACGGAGAGATGGGGGAGAGAAAGGTGATTGAGGGGTTGTGCAGTGTATGTGTATCCCCCTCACCAGCGACACGCTGCTTTTATGCACGCATGTTTTGTACGGTGAGAGAGGAGAAAGGAGAGGGGATAGAGGAGGGAGGAGAGGAGCAGGATGATCGGAGAAAAAGGTAAGGACCCCACACTCGCAGGGGAAAAGCACTTTGTTCCAAAAGCGAGCGCAGTGCAAAGCTGCTTGCCAGGGTATTGTGCATCAGCAAGTTTAACTTCAAATGTGCAGGTCCTACGCAAGACCGTCAGAACCCCTCAATGCGCACAGCACCTTGTAAGGGAAAACCCTTTGACAAATGGGAGTTCAGATTACTGTAGTCCTCTGTCAAAGGTTGTCAACTTTGCTAGTCATTTTTTGATGGTATATAAAAGTGCATCGCTACTACTAACAAGGGCATTACTACTAGTAGCAAGAAGCTACTAGTAGCAAGGTGCCTTACTACTAGCAGCTTGCTACGGCACCTTGCTACTGGTAGCTATTTGCTACTACTGATTTGATTCTGCATGTGGGTGGCCATGAGGCGTCGACAACGGCCTGGAGGTTGTCGTCAAGGCACAAAATCTTTGCACAAGGAAACGACCACGAAAGGTCCAGTCTACAGAGTCAACAGGTCAAAAGCGAACCATCAGACCAGAGACAAATAACTAAACGGTTTTTAACTATTTGTCCTTTTAATATCAATTTCTTTCCTTGGACTACACGAGAACAAGGTGGGAGAACTCTTCTGAAAGGTGGTGGGCTTGTAACTCGTCCGAAAACCCACTATGCGTGCAACTGTCACTGCTACTGCTCGGACTGATCGTCTCTCAGACTCTCTCCTTCTGCTGCTTCTATAACGAACGCTTTCCTTTACGGTAAAGCTTCACGAAACACGATGAACACTTCATGAAAACGGTGAAGCCGATGATTCCTCCGGCTTCCATGATCTGCAGGTGCGAGCGAAAGCAAATTCTTTTGTGGACCGTGCCGAAGAAAGGGAATGCCTGGCGCGTTTCGTCATGCTTCTCTAAAAGCACAGCTGGAATAGGCAAATAGGACAGTCGTTTTTGGGATGAGTGCCGTACGTAGCCGTTTTGGCTTTCAGATCCTCAAGCGTGGTTTGGATAGCAGTCATAGCCAAGGAGAGGCCTGTGGCCAGTGACTGTGAGTTGGTTCACGGAATCCCTGGCATCATAAGTAACATGGATTGGGCAGCGCAGGTCCGCCAACAGGTGGGTCTTGCCAACGAGAGGTACCCAACAAAGACACACCCTGTCAGGGACGCCAACACCATCTATCCTCCAGACCTTCCACGATGGATCGTGACGTTGAGTCCGATGCCTACGCATTTGGACTGGGAACTTGGAGAGTTGCTGAAGACCTTAGGGATCCATGAGATGGATCGGGTCTCTGCTGACGAGATCCATTTGCCAATTTGGTCAGATAAGATCGCACTTGGCCTTTTTGCTCTCAATGGCTTACCCTTGAACAACTTGGGAGGTAGCAAGCTCCAAGTGACCCTCCACGAGACCCAGCTCATGGCCTTTCAAAAAGATCTTGAAGTGGGGTCAGGTGATTGATGCGAGCGTTCCGCTCTGAAGAAATGTGCCAGTGAGAATTCTTCGGTTGACCTGATAATAGATGTACAGTGCAGTGAATTTTGGGTGGGGGCGGTTCGTTGAGCTCGAGGACACGAAGTGAAAATCACGTCCCTCACTTGAATGTTTGCAGTTCGCTGAGCACGCCTCGGGCTCAGAAGCTCCAGTGTGACACCACGTGAAGTGAACATCACGTGTCGCACATTTCCAAGAGCAGACTCGCAGACTTGTAGATGTCTGCACGACCAGACTCGCAGACCGAACACGCTGTTTGGCCGAAATGGATTCAAGAACGACGCAGCTCATGGCCTTACTACTAGGAGCAAGGACGCTACTAGGGGCTCCTGGCCTTGCTACGAACGGAGCAAGGACGCTACCTGAGCACCATGTTCAGCAAGAATTCACAATTTCAACATGTCGGCCAGGAATGGCGCCACAATACGGAATTCATGCTGAACCTGCCTGAAACGGAAGGCATCGCGAAGCTCTATGAGGCAACGGATATTTGGTCTATTGCTCTTTTGAATGATGAATATCAGATCAATTTGGTTGGTGGATGCTGATGTGGATCACCTTTTGTTCCAGCAACTGTGGGTTTTGTTTTCCCCTTTGACATCCTTTGACTTTTTGCCAGTGGGTTTGGGGGCCGCGCTCTTCAATGCAAACTCATGTACACACTCGACTTCTGCTTGTTTACCAGGTGCTCGAAGACAAAAAGGGTTACTACGTGATCATGGAGAAAGTGGCTGGTCAGGAGCTGTTGTGTGCGAATGGCCGCAAGCAGAGATAGACATCGAAGTGTGAGACACACAATACGGTAGCTCCTCACTGTCCTCATGTAACCTTGAGGATCTCTTTGAGACCATGACTGGGAAAGGCCAGAGTCTGTCATACTTTGCCATGTCAACTCCAAATTGAGCTTCGAAGTCGATGAGTGATAGGTGTTTTTCGGGAACAGGTCTGCTGCCTGTGGCAGAAGTGAAGGAGGTGATCAAGCAGCTTCTACAGGCGAACATGCGAAACGAACAGACCGCATCAATAGGACGAAGCTCTGAACTTGTTCAGAAAAAGCTCCATTCGTAGCGTCCTTGCTCCTAGTAGTAAGGCCAGGAGCCCCTAGGAGCTTCTTGCTCCTAGGAGCCCCTAGTAGCGTCCTTTGTTCCACATTGTTCCACTGTTTTCATGCCTTTGTTTGTTGTTTGTTGGTCGTCGATCTGAAGCTGAGGCACTGGCCGAGCTTCATGCACGGAATTGTATCCACAAGGAGCGGCGATTGAGATCGGGGAGAGTACATCAGGCCGTGGCCCAAATCTTACCAACATGAAGTGAAAGTTTGGGTGCCTGTCATGATTGGATTGGATCAGTGACAAGTTCAACATTAAGTGCCTTTCATCACGACTTCGTGTGGTGGATCGAATCTGAAAAAAACCCTGTAAACACACATGAATGGCCCGAAGAAGTTTCTCTTTGGTTGACACACAGGTAGACAAATGTAGTGCTTTCTAACAGGTGCACAGCTTCCAACAAAACATGTTTAGTTCCATTCGTGAAGTGAATTTAAAACATGAAGTAATGAACAAAGTGCAAGAGATTAGAAAGATTTGGTTCAAGATGACGCCGTACTGGAAAGCATCATGGCATCATGGGCCAGTCGGAAATGAACACTGATTATATTCGGTGCCGTAATGAGATCGCAATTGCTGTATGGACTAGAAACGGTGCATTGGACCAGTTCTTTGTTGAAGAAACTTGATGCTTTCCAGATTCCAATTGCGTGGCCTGAGAACAATTATCGGGCTAGCTCCGACCTTCATTGATAGAGCCAATACTAACAGGGCCGTGATACAGAGAGCATCTCAAATTGCTTTTCGGAGTGATGATCGACGAGTAATCTACAATAGCAAGAGAGCAAGTTTTTTAGGGCACGTTTTTCGTGCGCCGGAATCTGACTCCCCTCAGACAGATATCGCTTCAGCTGAATTCTGCTTGTAGGGTTCAGTAGGGCAAGAAGAGATGCGGCCGGCCCAGGCAAAGTTGGCTGCATTTTTCAAGAAATACGCTTATGAATCTATACTCGGTCTTGATCTTATGAATCTATACTCCTGTAGATGATACTTGCATCTACAATGCAACCAAACAAAGATTGTTATAACACCGCTGACAAGCGCTTAGCTGCGTCAACGCAGTGCTTCAGATTTGACACGAGTGTTGAAGCAGGGTAGGGCAAAACATATAAAAAACAGCTGGTGCTGTTCATTCTGAGTGATTACTTTTTGTCTTTGGTTTATCCATGCCATGTGTTTTCCTCAAATACCCAGTTACCCGTCGCAGTGGCTAATCATGGCTAACCCATGTGCTGGGTATTTGTACTGCTCCTCCTCATTCCCCTCCTTGTTTGGTCATCTCCTCTCCTCGCCTCCTCACCCTTGCGGAGTCCGTGGATGTTTGGAAGCTCTTCCTTCCCGCTTCTTTCTCTTCCTTCTCCCTTTTCCCTTCTCCCTTTTGTCTTCTCCCGTCACTTCTCCTCCTCCTTTTCTCCTCTCCTTTGCTCCTCTCCATTGCTCCCTTCCATTGCTCAGCTCCTCTCCATTCCCCTCCTCCATTGCTGCTTCTTCTTCTTCTTCTTCTTCTTCATTCTTCTTCATTTGCTTCTTTTTCCCCAAACAGTCTTTGGCCGCGCCCCTGAACCCTGTGTCCGGGTGTTTCTTGGTGTCCTGCTGTCCTCTGGCAGCGCTCGCGAACCCTGTGTTCTCCTTTGTCCTCCTGTCCTCTGGCCACACGCGCAACCCTTTGTGCTCCTCTCTTCCTTCCAGTGTCCTGCTATCCTCCGATAGCCGTGGCCGCGCCGTCTGCTCTTTCTTCACCACCTTGCCCACGTTGTTCTGCTTGTCGCTTGTCTGGGCCTTGTCCCTTGCTTGGCCGTGCCGTTTTCCCTTTCTCCACCGCCTTGTCCGTGTTTGTTTTCTTGCGACTATGAATGCAACAGTGGTGCAGCGTTTCAAACTCGATATCATCTTGTAAACAAGCAGCTGGAGGCTGTAGACATAAACTGTAAATTCAAGAGTTTCCATCAGGTCTAGGCCATGCTTGTGTAATTATCCTTCTTCTTTTACTTCTCCTCCTGCTCATCTTGTCCTCCTCCTCGTTCTCCGTGTTCTCCTTATGTCCTGTGCTACCATTCTTTCTTTGCCTCCTCGCCCTCCCCCTTCCTATATACTGTATACGTTTTGTTGCTCGGTGCCACAGGCAGCAAATTCTTATTTAAACGTCGTCCCTTAGTGAGCCCTTTTAAGTCCTAGTTTGTTAGTGGAGCGAATCGACGCCTTACCGACTAAGCAACTGAACTAACTACCTTTTCTACATTAATCTAGTAACAAGTGCCACGCTAGTAGTAACAAGTGCCTTACTAGTAGGAACAAGAAGCTACTAGAAACAAGTGCCTTACTACTAGTAACAATAAGAATTTAATTAGAATTGTAATTACTAGCAAAGGAATCTACATTATATATCTTCCTTCCTTCCTTCCTTCCTTCCTTCCTTCCTTCCTTCATCCTCTTTCCCTCCCCCCCTCCCTCCCTCCCCCCCTCCCTCCCTCTCTCTCTCTCGCGCTCGCTCGCTCGCTCGCTCTCCCTCCCTATCTCTTTCACTCTGTGCACGTTGTCTCTCGTGGAGGTATATCCCCGCTTCCGCATTGTTTTCTACGTTTCTTCTTTTCCAGCTGCGGTCCTCATCGTTCTGTTTGGCCTCCCGCGACAAAATTCGGATGTGGCGCAGTGTGGCAGGACTTGAAGCTGGAGAACGTGATGTTCGACAGGACACAAAGACATTTAGAGTAGAACGATCTGATGGGTTTGTGGTGAGGGTGTGGAGACACTGATCGAATTCGCGAATTCAATTCGATTTGCATATTCCTTCAAGAGCAGGTTATCCGATTGGTTGGGAGTAAACGGTCACTGAGTCTAGAGTCTAGCAATCGCTTTTGAAAGCTTGCGTTGCCACAATTTACATGCATAGAAACGACTTTTGCCAATTTCCTACCAAAACCTCCCAAATTGTCTAACATCTACTTTTGCACCGCCCCAACCAAGAGGTAACCGGTTGCTGAATGCTGGAGAGCTCCGTCTCCTGTTTCACCACCCCAATCTATCAAAACGATTCAAAAGGCACCATTTGAGGAAAGTGTTCCACTGCTCAAGAAAACAAAGCGCCTTGTTCCAGTCTTTGTCCACCTGAGGCGCTTTGTTGTCGCACTGGTGAGTGTTGAGCCCTAGAAGCGTCCTTGCTCCTAGTAGTAAGGCCAGGAACCCCTAGTAGCGTCCTTGCTCCTAGTAGCGCACGAGTTATGATCTATCAGCCAACCATGGCACTTGAATCTGGAGCCTGCCGAACAGCTTCTTCGGGCGTGAGTCCTTCCTTCGTTCAGGCCCAGTCCCCCGCACAGGCCGCTGGTAGTGGTGCAATTCGCAACCATCGCGATGAGAACATCACACTGCGCATTTAAAGCTTTAAAGGTGAATGCTTGCTCAATGTACAAGCAGGGAGCATGCACAGGTGCTCTGTGTTTGTCTTGAGGTTGACGCAGTATGGGGTTTTGAGACATATGCAGCATCAGTGGCCTGATCAGCCAACATGTTTCATTAGCCAACCTGATTTGCAGCCCAAATCCGAAAGCTTGGCAGAGTTGTCGTGATTCTTGGCCTGGAATCTGAATTTGCTTGGCGACGCTGCTTTGACAATTGAGCCAATAGATCTGGCAGAGTCACCCAATGACTCTTGCGCAACATGGAAGGAGGACAGCCACGAACCCCTGACAGGCCGGCTGACACTTGGTGACCTTGGTGTGATGGGACTTTCGACAATGCCTCCCTGTCGGCTGGTGTAACAAGTCAAAAGGCTCAAAGCTGTCTCTGACGTTGCCTTTCGCTGAGAAACCGGTTCTGCATTCCAAGAAAGAACACATTAGTTAGCGAGGGCCGACTTGTGCTAGCTTCCCAAGATGGGTTGTTCAAGATTTTGGACCTTTGGATGATGGAAAAAGCTCTTTGGATGTATTGCTAAGGCTGAGGTTGCTCGGTAGATTCGAAAGCAGCTCGACACCTATCAATTGCAAGGCGGAAGACGTGCCTAAGAAGGCCAGGTTCTATGATTTGATGAGAGATTTATACCATGAAAGGTAGGGGGCTAGGGGCTGTCGTAGTCAATCTCTTCGAGAGCAGCATCTTGGGCAGCTTGTTCGGACTTCAATCTGGACCTTCGACCATTGAGGAGTGAGGCCAAGGTGAATCGGGTCTGGGAGCACCTCGTTCGATCAGTAGGCGGGAAGGGACCAGTGAATCCTTGCAGTGTTGAGGTTCTGTGTGAGCAATTATTGCTCCCATACAACAGGCGTCCAGCGTCAACGCGTTAACTTTGACAGGACTTTGGAATCACTGCAGGCCTTGTTGATCTCCCTTCATCAGGTTACCCTGCAATTTTGAGACCATTTCTGTTCTCTTCACTCGTCGCGGAGAGTTTAGGCTTGAACGAGTCGGCAGAAACGGTCACATTCACTTAGTCACCGTGGGACGCTTCAACTCAACACTCTGGCCCAGGCCGCAAGACCCAGCGTGGCCTGGCCGGTCGTTCTCCGTTCTCCACAAATGGGAATCCGGAACCCTCCTGTACGACTTCTGAAGGTTGTGCCATTTCCTTATACATGGAAAACCATGGCAGGGGAGGCCATCGCTCTTAGGTTGGAGGCCATTGCTCCAGGTTCTCTCTCCCCGTCCAGGAGTCCAGCACTTGATGTTGAAATGGACAAGCTGCAAGCTGGTTCCCGGCAAGGGGCACCAGGATTGGTGCTGATTTCAGTAAGAAAGTCTAAACTTAGCTCTGCTCTTGGGCAAGATGGGCATCATATGGCAAGCTCGGCTCAATCCAGAAGGCCATGAGCGAGAAAACAACCGCCGCGTTAGCTTCTCTTGGGCAGTAGCACAGACATTCTGCCTTCCGAGTCAGGAAGATGTCGCAGCGCTTGGATCCAGGAAAGTGTGCATTCTTTGTCGCCGATGCTGTGATGGTATGTCGCTGAAGGCGGCGTGCTTGGTCGCGTTTCCATATGGAAGCCTTCATGGTCACGCGGCGCACCTCATGATTAATACGCACGGGCGTCGACACAGAGCAAGGAGAAATGTGAAAACTCGTAGGGCACCTGCGTGGTCACGAGACAGGCACACGGTATTTGGAATTTCAATCTTCACCGAGAGTTGGGGGGTTGATCGCTTCAGTGATGTTCTGAGCCTGCTTTCTGCCACTTCGCCAGACACTGCTTGCTTTAAAAACAAAGTCAGGTCCAGTCTGGGAATGATCGCCAAGAACCCAATGATGGCGGAAGAATGCACCAGACAGGGTTCTAGAGCGCCCTTTTCTTGTTGTTTTGAAGGGGATCGATCCCCTGATACTGCAGCACAGCTGCAAATCTGCAACGAAGGCCGTGCCCGTTCCCACAAACTTCCAATCCCCAAACGTGCTGTTCCCGCCGCTTTATCCAGTACGCTCTGGGCGGAGGCTTTGCAGGTCCAAGACGTGTTCGACGCCGCTACCCCCCTGTGTTGTAGACGATTTCTCGTTTTAGGTGTAGTGCCGTGGTTCTTGTCATGTTTGCCCCGTAGTATCCCGGAGCCCATCGCTTTCGGCTTCACAGGACTCCGCCCATCAATGCGAAAGTCGACTGGTCAAACACTGGGGACCAATCTCCGGTCAAGGTGCAGCAGCAGTGTGCCATTCGCTGTCCGAACAAGCACCGAGCATGGTGAGCGAGGAACTTCTAAATCAAACCTTCAAAAATCCAATTTTGGAAGAGTCAAGTTTGCATGATCATGCAAAAGTCTCAAAACAGTGTAATTTGTCAAGTTTCTAAGTCAAAACTGAATATAATCAAAATGTGTTTGCATAGTGATGCTGGTTCACCACTTCAATAACACCTTGTGAGAAAAACGGTCCAGCAGCATTGGTATGGAACCAAAGTCCATGGCCGGCAAGGGTCTGGTGGGATTACGGATGCTGTTCTTTAAAAACCCAATGGCGAGCATAGTGGCCTTAGGCTTGAAGTAGGGTGGAGGCCATTACTACTAGTAACAAGAAGCTACTAGGGGGCTCCTGGCCTTACTACTAGGAGCAAGTAGCTATTAGCTTATTGTTTCTACTAGCAAACATTGTTACTACTAGTAAGGCACTTGTTACTACTAGCGATGCACTTGTTACTAGAAGCGACGCAAGTAGCTACTAGGTTGGAGTCTTCTGCGGATCGGAAGCAGGTGAAGTTGATCGACTTTGACACCGTGGAGACGGTCCAGCCACAGACGCCAAAGAAGGCGAAGGTGCAACTGTTGAACAAGTACTACGCCTTTGTACTAGTAGCTATTTGCTACTAGTAGTAATGGCCTCCAACCTAGTAGCTATTTGTTGCTACTAGTAATAATGCCCTTGTTACTGCAACATTTTTCAGGGAAGCACTCGGGACAAAATCACGTCAGGATTCTAAATTGTGCCTATAGGAAGTTACTCCGTTCTTTTTCTCACAGGTCGAGTTGCATTTTGTCAGATTGATGTAATTCAGGATGTCCTCGGGACAGATCAGTACATCGCTCAGGAGGTGCACATGTCGCGCTTTGCATTTCACGAAACCGCCCCCTCCATCATCGTGCGAAGCAAAACCAAGAGCGCTCTTGTCCAAGTAACCTTCTTGTCCATGGAGTGGCAGCCAAAGCCTTCAAGGTAGGAGCAAGGGCCGGCCTTCAGCCTGAGAGGAAAGTTTCGGCTACAGCTCACAAAGCAGCGGCCAGGCGTATGATGGAAACTACTCTGCGGCTTCGGACATTTTTGCAGTTGGTGTCATCGGATATCGGTGGGGCTCCCAGATGAACACGCCTGAGGCAGCAAACTTCCCCTGTTGATTGATGTAGATGGATCTTGTGTTTCATAGATGGACGATTGGAAAGTAGCTCTAACTTGGCAGTCAAATTGAACATGAAGAGAGGCCAATCAGAGCACAATATGGAGCATGTTTGAGTGGGTCGAGGCTCCTCACTGCCAAGTTTCCTTTCCGTGCAGACATCTTTGATGACGAGGCATTCAGACTTCCTTTTAAACTGCATGCAGGGATACGCAGAGAGCATCACAAGAACATTTGAAGTCAAACTGATAAGACATGATAGAGCGATAGGTACAAGTGACCCCTAACCAAAGGACGACACGCCATGAAAGAGTATGCTCCGCGCTTTCACTCCAAATCACCCAAAGATCTTCGGACTGACCTACCCATTCTGCCAGTAACAAGAATTATCCTTGCACATTATTCAGACATTTCTTTTGCCAGCGTGAGGCCGGCGACAATTGGGTCGGCTCCCCGAAGATGAAGGAGCTCATCAGACTCTCAGCCGAGAACCGTTCAGTCTGAGTGCAGTTCCTTCTTTTCAGGAGATCCGGCAGAAGCTGCAGAATTACAAGATCGATTGGAATCATCGGGTTTTCAGCTTGGAGCCGCAGGCGCAATAGCCACAATTCCAAACTCACAATCCCAAACAAATACTAGTCAATAGTTTGTTGAACTCATCGCCGTTTGTCAGCGGTTTTGACATCCATCCAAAAGGACCGGCATTCAGCATGAAGCGTTCCGCGTGTGCTGCGTCTTTGTGCATTGGACCTTCCATCGCAAAGCACAGGCCTGCAACCTCATCAAGGCCATGCTCGCCAGCAACGAGAGGGAGCGTCCCACTGCCAAGGCGGGCCGGCTTTGCAAGGATATGTTTGGCCTCTTAATCCATTGAGGAAGTCCTAAACGTGGATTGGTTTGGGGTAGCCATTTTGATATTGTTTCTGTTTGATTGTGAGAATAGCTCACTGCCAGGAAGCACTGGCAAATGGCTGGTTTAACGAAACCGGGCGACGGCGATCCATGCCAGATTTGGATCGGGCCGGCCGGGTGACTGAGTGTCGAACTGTTTCGGTTTGTTCGATTTAACTACCCTTTACAAGTTGGCACAAGAACATCTACAGAAGACGATAGTAAGTAGGTGAGCATGATAGTGTTCTTGTATGTCCTTGTCAAATTCCAGTAATTCCTCAGGCCACTTTGCAGACAGAAACGTTCAACGTCTTTTTGAACCACCAGCTTTGTCGCTGGACACATGCCGATCCACTCCCACTCGGAGCAGTCTCAGACAAAGGCTCTCGATTGTCCACCGCCCAAGCTGCAGGTTCTCTTAAGACCTCCAGGAACAAGTGCATCGCTAGTAGTAACAGGTGCCTTACTAGTAGTAACAAGTGCATCGCTACTAGTGACAGGTGCCTTACTAGTAGTAACAAGTGCATCGCTAGTAGTAACAGGTGCCTTACTAGTAGTAACAAGTGCATCGCTACTAGTAACAGGTGCCTTACTAGTAGTAACAAGTGCATCGCTAGTAGTAACAGGTGCCTTACTAGTAGTAACAAGTGCATCGCTACTAGTAACAGGTGCCTTACTAGTAGTAACAAGTGCATCGCTACTAGTAACAGGTGCCTTACTAGTAGTAACAAGTGCATCGCTAGTAGAAACAGGTGCCTTACTAGTAGTAACAAGTGCATCGATAGTAGAAACAAGTGCCTTACTAGTAGTAACAAGTGCATCGCTACTAGTAACAGGTGCCTTACTAGTAGTAACAAGTGCATCGCTAGTAGAAACAAGTGCCTTACTAGTAGTAACAGGTGCATCGCTACTAGTAACAGGTGCCTTACTAGTAGTAACAAGTGCATCTCTAGTAGAAACAAGTGCCTTACTAGTAGTAACAAGTGCATCGCTACTAGTAACAGGTGCCTTACTAGTAGTAACAAGTGCATCGCTAGTAGAAACAAGTGCCTTACTAGTAGTAACAATAAGAATTTAATTAGAATTGTAATTACTAGCAAAGGAATCTACTAGGACCTTTTCGCGTAGGAAGCTACTAGGAACCTAATAGTGTCCTTGCTACTAGTAGCGATGCCCGGGTTCCTAGTAGCTTCTTCCTCCTAGTAGCGATGCCAGGAGCCCCTAGTAGCGTCCTTGCTACTACTAGCAAAAAGAACCAAGAGCGATGGCCTCCAACCTACTAGTGATGGCCTCCAACGTAATAGACTCTCCTCCTTCCGCTCGTGGGTTTGTAGATGTTTGTAGTTTTTTTGTTTTGTTTTTTTTGTGGGTCCACCATCCGAGGTGAACGATCTCCTGGCGCAAGTGCCGCTGTCCCCAGCTCAGTATCTCAAAACACTGAAGCACATATTGTTCGTGTTATGTGGGAAGTGATTTGAATGGTCGGACAATTTTGGCACCTCCAAAAAGGCTTTCTCAGTCTCATAGAATTCAACTCAGAAGTCCGGTCTATCTGGTCGTGACGTTCGGTGTTCCACGTGGCGAAACCAGCACTGAGGCGCCAAAGGACATGATGAGGATGGTCTCTGGAGGTTGAACCTCTGAATCCAAGACCGCCGGTTTTTTGGGGGCCAAGTGGCCGAAGTGGCCAAGGTCGAAACTTTCCACAACCACCTTTGTCACAATGGGATCATCCTAAGCTACTAGGAACAAGTGCACCGCTTCTAGGAACAAGTGCCTTACTAGTAGTAACAAGAAGCTATTAGCCTCTTATGGCTCCACCGGCCTTATTCTCTTGTCAGACCTGGACCGACGAGTAGTGGGCTTTGGGGCCTCAACTGGAAAGACAGGAGCCACATTCCACAACGAGCGGTTGTGAAAACGATGTAGAAACAACACATGGAAGACCTCACATAGAACACATACGTAGTCTGAACATGTTATCCTTTCTCTACGTACCGTGTCGTTTCAGGAAGACTCGTCGGTCCATGCGACTGCGTGCATGCGTGCCATGCAAGTGGCCCCATTTTTAGGCCAAGCCGGTTTTACCGAGGGTCGCTCAATGGCTCTGAAATCTTCGTGACAGGCACTGTCAGAGTAGATCTGACAACAGACATGGTCACATCCATGGTCATTGGTTCACCGTCAATGGGGCAGCTTTCAGGTCCAGTCACATGTTCGCTACTAGGAACAAGTGCCACGCTAGTAGTAACAAGTGCCTTACTAGTAGTAACAAGGACGCTACTAGGAGCAATGATCATGGGATCCTTGGAGTTGACAACAGGAACAAGGACGCTACTAGGGGCTCCTGGCCTTGCTACAAGGGCCTTACTACTAGGAACAAGAAGCTAGTAGAGACAAGAAGCTTGTAATTAGAATTGTGTGCCAGTCACATTTCAACGCAGTGGATGATCAAGTTGTCCAATGGACAAACTGATCGGTCTGGGAGGAGGAGCATTGGCAAAGAGCAACAAGACCACGAGCAGAACATCAAGACCAGTTTAGTGCAGGAACTTGTTCAATGCCAGGAAATTGACTTCCTCGTAGATAGGACAGATATGAACGAATGAATACAAGTTTCAAGGGAGCTTAGGCATTTTATTCCTTCCTCTGGTTTTGCTTGTCGTCCTTTTAACCCATTGCATCATTCCCAGATTCATTCTGACCCGAACAAAAGGCGTCTTCTTCTTCTTCTTTTCTTCTCTCTCTCTCTCTCTTTCTCTTTATCTCCCCTCTCTCCCTCCCTCCCTGTTTGGGAGATTACACTTTGAATCTCCTTCGGATTGACCTCTTGCAGGCAAAAGTATTGATTCGTTTTTCCATTTGGCGATCCTAGTCTATGGTCAGCATTGAAGCAACAGGGGTGAAATGAGAGCAATGTGCAAGCCGATGATGAACCAATTATCAACATGGAGGTGCGCCTTCCTTCCTACTCTAACCACAACACTTTCTTGTGAAGTTCTCCAGCAGATTGTGATGCCTCCCAGCCACGTTTGAAGCGTCTGACTGCATGGCCATCAGCCTGCGCTAGTCGGACAGTATTTCTATTCCATGAACACCATGCAGACGCCGCAGTCAGAAGCGGTCTTCAGTGAGCCCTAGGCTGAGACACACACACAATAAGCCAGAGGCACTAATGTTCATGTCTAATTAAGAAATTTCTTGTGATCTTTGTAGAAACAGACGTTGTCAAGAACGTCTTACCTGCGAGGTTTTAAGCAAGCTGCGTTTGCTGGGAGGATTGGTTGCAGAACAAATCACTCCTGATGGAGTGATGGGAGTGACTGTGGATTCACCAAAGGTGAATCACGCTGGACTGCGATTTATGGTGGGGGTGTTAGCATGTTCCAACTTGAGCTCACCTGTTAGTCACCTGTTTTGTCACCTGGTTGTCTTCCCAAAAATCCCTCAGACTTGATCCGAGAGCTCGGCCTGGAGGGCCTTTGTTAAGCCAGAGACCAGATAGGCCCTCTGCTGAGCCACATCCGGAGAGCAACAGCTCTTGGCTAGACCTACTTGCGGCCCCGACCGGCCGTCCTCAGAATGGAAAACAGGTGCCAGCACCGATGTCTATACATAGAAAATGCTTCAGCTGCAGTTTCTCTTTGCCTTGTTTGAAGAATTAGTTCCACATGGTGCCACCTTCGGGAAAGGTCCGACGTGACGTTGATGCCAACCCAACACGGAGCCTCATGTGGCTTCATGACCCAGGAAGAAACCTTGCAAAGAGCAATACATAGTAATATATGTATATGTATGTGTAATGCCCTTTGCTACCAGTAGCTTTTTTGTTCCTAGTAGTAGTGCCCTTGTTCCCAGTAGCGATGCCTACATTATATAGTAGCTTCTAGACGCTAGTGGACCCTCCTGTCGAAGCGTGCGCAGAGAACCCAGGGATGCTCTGTGAGGTACCTCACTACCCGAGAGACGCTTGGAAGTCGGTGGCGGGCATCGAAGCTGCAGTCGGGTACTTGAGAGCTGCTTCTCGGGTGCTTCGCTGTTTCTTCGTCCGGCAGCAGGATGGTCGGGGTCCGTTCTTGTTACTAATAGCTTCTTGTTACTACTCGTAAGGCACTTGCTCCTAGTAGCGATGCACTTGTTCCTAGTAGCTTCTTGTTACTACTAGTGCCAAAACTAATTCAGTGACCTGTGATGAAATCACTGCCTGTGATGCCACAACTCAGTCACCCTTTCTTTTGAGCAGTGATAGGGCGGAATTCTTGTGTTGACGG